TGGTAGTGAGTTTACGAGAGCGAGCCCTAAACGGGGTATAGGGTTTAGTAGGGTTTAGGGCTTAGGGCTTACCTAGATCCCAAAGAACCTACCTTTTTAAGGACATACCAAAACAAGTCATGCCCTAATTAGGGTAGGTTTTGTTTTTAGGGTCCAGGTAAACCCTAAACCTTAAGCCAGGCTTGTGGGCATGAGCTTGCGAGCCGAAAGATTGGGATTTGACGTTTGGGCGAGGCTTTTCGGGTCTAGGAACCCTCCCACGAAGTCCCAACCCTCGCGCCTTTTCAGGTTTTGCAAGCCCCACAGGGCCTCTATGGCTTTAGTAACCTCAAAACCCTTCATACGCTACGGCAGATCAAGCTTCAAGTCGCACCCTCAAATCCGAAGGAAGCGAACTTGCTACTAAGCTACCACCCATAGAAGCCTCTAGTCTAGACTTATTTCTCCACGATAGGAAGACCACCTAAACCCCACAATAAGCAAGTCACTGCTTTCGTGCCTTGGAAACTCCAGGCCCTGAAACCCAAGAGCCCGGAAGCCCCAAACCCTAAACTCTAAGAGCCCGGAAGGCCCTAAAGCCTTCAACCCTAAACCCTAACAGCCCAGAGCCCACTAGCCAATAGCCCCTAGCCTTGCTGAGAAGAGGCGGATCGCTCCTGGAGCACAGCACGGCTTCAGAAGGCCAAGAGGTCGTTGTAAGACAGGGTTCAGGGCTTAGGTCGTATGAAGAAAGGGGCTTTGGCAACTAGAAATGGGCTTCTTTAGGGGTTCCTGACGTATTTATTTCGACACAGATACATACATACATATATATATATATATATAGGGGCTTCGACAATGGACTCGACGGTGTTGGGGGTATCGGGCTGAAGGGCAATCGGACTTTTGGGCTGTTTAAACCTTTAGGGCTTTAGGGTTTTGGTAGCGTGGCGAAGACTAGCTTGAATAGAGCAGGGTAACCCGGACTGGCCAAATCATCACACCCGGCCAGGAAATCACATGCCGCATTCCAAGGGCTCCAAAAGGAGTACCGGGAGTTTTGCGTTCATAACGTAGCGTTGTATTGATCATCTCTATCGCGACAGAACACTCTGAACTGTCAGGCTATTGGGGACTGCATGCACTGCAAGATGGATGACGCTCTGCCATATTAGCGTCGTGTGCTCATGAGCTTTGTTATTGAGATCCCATGTCCAATACCTCGAGCTTTTGCAGTCCAGCACAACGAAATGACCCGAGTTCAACTTCTCAAGCCAATAGACCCGAAAGCGCCAAGCCGTGCAAGGACAAAGAGCTCCGATTGGGCTCCACGATAATCCAGGCTTCGGAGGATCCTTTGAGTGGCCTGGTGACTCCCAGCACCCGTCGCGCAGAGGCCTGCAGAAGTCACAAGATCTGTCATGCTGGGCCCGATGCCTTGTCATTTTCTGACTGGACTGATTACATATGATTTAGATATCTTGTACACATCTAGTATGTGTGTTATGTCCGTAACCGTGAGGACGCGCGCGTGAATCTGTCTATACATGTGTATGGTATGTATACGTATACACATACGTACATACATACACAGACAGATCCAGAGACAGACAGATAGACAGACGTACGTCCGTACGTACGTTCATAACGCCGCGTTACAGTTACGATGCATTGCAATACATGGCAGTATACAATACACGACCGTGCATTGCAGTATGTTATACGGTACAGCACAGTGCAGCTCAGCGCAGCACTGGGCAGTGCAGTGCAGCAAAGATATGCATACATGCACCCATGCACCCATGCATCCATCCATGCATCCGTGCATGCAGTATATTCATATACATATGCATACAGCTATACATATACATACAAGCATATATACATCCATCCATCCATCCATCCATCCATCCATCCATCCATCCATCCATCCATCCATCCATCATGCATGCATGCATGCATGCATGCATGCACCTATCCACAAGCCACGCAGCCAGCCCGCACAGGCAGGCAGGCAGGCGCACAGGCACGCAGGCAGGCAGACAGGCAGGCACTGACTGATTGACTGACTGGCTGCTTGCCTGGGTGATGACTCGCAGACTCTTTAACACTCACTCGCTCACTTCCGCACTGCCCCACGCACCCCGTCAAGTACTTTCTTTATACTTACTCAAATATGTGCGCCTTGCATGCGTGCGCATACACGTGCGCAGAGACACGCAAGCTCTCCGAGCATGTCTGCACCAGTCCTTGCGGCGGTCCTTGCTCAGCAATCTGAAGAAACTGATCACACCGAAACTCCACGACGATGTGCGCGCTGCTGGCCGACATGCCAAGCCGAGACATCTGTCGTTCGGCGAGCAAGTAACAGAGCATGCCCTTGCCACCTTTGAAAAAACACATGTCGGACCCAACACAGACATGTGCAATTCTGGATGCCCCACAAAAGCTTGGGGGCGTTCGCACTTTCTCTTCACGTCGCTAGAACCCCCGGGATAAAACGCCCGTCCGAGGGGACCAAACAGCGGCAGCTGTGCCCGCGACGGATGCGCTGCCGCACAGGCAGCAAACTGGACATCAACTCCTGCGATTTTGACGATCAGGTTGTTGGAGCCCCTGTTTCGATCCCGAATCTGGTTTGACAATGGCGAGGAAGGCATCGCAGAGAAATCGAACCCCCCCCCCCCACTAAAGCTCCCTGAATCTGGGAGTCTACGGTGGAGATCACCCAAAACTCCAATGCGCAACGTAGGCAGACTCATTCAACTCCTTCTCAACTTGACCTTGTCGGAAAACCCTTGGACTGAGCTGTGCAGCCGTAGAGTCTAGCATGACTTGAACACGGCCGCTGTTGACACCTTTCGAGAGGAGCGGCCTGGTCGCTTCCAAGATGTGTCGAAGCACCAGATACTTCCGACCTGCCAGTTGCTGTATCGTTGATAGGTAAACCGGTGCTGCCAGATTTTCACTTCTAGCTTGAGGGCTGTAGGAGTCTAGGAAGACTCTGGGATTCAGATCCTGTTCTACGTCGAGCTCCACAAGCACTCCTTTTCTCCCAGATCTGCTCCGCTGGATCTCATTTTGGGCGGCTTCTCTGAGTTAGGTAAGACCCCACTGGAGCTGCTGAGCTGTCTTTGCGACTTCTCGTCGGCCCTGGTCGGAGCCACCCAGTTCCGAGAAACCGCCATTATTGCTTTTGCTCTATCTGGACACAGTGCCAAATTCAAACCCGAGCGGTCTCAGAGAAAAGCAGCGCATGCATTGTTCACCGAAATGTCGAGTCATTCAATGCCTCGTATGCAGGCAAAATCAGCGTGTTCTAGAGGCTGGCATTTTTGCAATTACCCACCAAGTGGCGTGGTCTACCCTCTGTGTAATACTGTAGGCAACCTAGCAATGCGTCTGTCCAAATCTGTGACCCTTGGGATGATTCTTGTTTGGCAACACGAGGGAACAAAGCCGTCACCCCTGCACGGAATGCAGGGATGCTTGACAGTGGCAGTGTTGGGCTCCCTTCTTTGATGTTCGGTTCTTTCGCATTGCGCTTCTGAAGCATTGAGCCAGGCACTATCGTGGTCAGTAAGAACGTGGTGCTTCCAAGAGTCTGTCACCGGGTGAATGTTCATGCCATCCGCATCGTTCCAAACAGCGAAGCATCTTTCAGAAAGATGACAGTAAACGACCATCACGGAAATATGGGGGAATGGTAGAGAAGAGAGCACGAAAATCTCGCTGAACTCTTGCCACAATGCCAGGACGTGATCGCGCGGCAAAGCTTCAGTCAAGTGCTCGGTGCGGCCACTTCGAGAACCTCAGAGATCTTGAAAAGTTACCCTCCTTGCCACCTTGCCTGTCGGTGCTGAGTTGTCGTTTCCTTTCACGTATTTGGCACCACCGGTAATGAGCATCTCGAGGAACTCGGATCGAACTTACTGTGGAGTCGCTGCTGACCCTACATCGACCATGCACTGCGCTCTGGATCTCGAACGCAGGTATGATGTTAATGGCAGCATACAGTACCCGACCCTGTTACAGGTCTCTGCGCCCATGCGACGCAGTGCTTACACAGTTCATTTAGCGACAAGGGACAACCACAAAAGTGAGCTTGTCAGCATCGGCGTTGAGGAAGTCCCACTCCTCTTCCCCTGAAGATCGACGATGCTTCAAGGAGCTGCTAGGTTGGCGAGGCTCCATATTTTGATGTGACGGGAGAGTCTTGATGGTAACTCTTTGGCATTTTATGCATCCGACGTTTAAGGGCATGTCGTTCAAATTCTGCCATGATCTGCTCAAGGGGACTATGGCGTTCGACAGGCAAGGCTGGGTTTCCGAGATGCAAAGCGCGCGCCCGAGATACATGTTTGCATCTCGGAAACCCAACCTTGCATGTCGAGCCAGGATTTTACTACTACTTTACTATTTCTTTTCTACCACGACCCCAGCCGTTTGTATCTCGGAAACCCAACCTTGCATGCCGAGCCAGGATTTCACTATTTTGCTGTTGTACTATTTCAGTACTGTACTATTCCACGACTTACTATTTTACTATTTGCTTAATTGCTATTTGCACCACGACCCCAGCCGTTTGCATCTCGGAAACCCAACCTTGCATGTTGAGCCAGGATTTTACTACTTTTTAGTATTGTACTATTTCAGTACTGTGCTATTCCACGACTTACTATTTATTACAATTTCACTATTTACTTCTTTGCTATTTACTTTTATACTATTCTACCACGACGCCAGCCGTTTGCATCTCGGAAACCCAACCTGACATGTCGAGCCAGGATTTTACTATTTTTCTATTTCAGTACTGTGCTGTTCCACTATTTACTAGTGTATTATTCACTACTTTACTATTTACTTTTATACTATTCTACCACGACCCCAGCCGTTTGCATCTCGGAAACCAAGCCTTGCATGTTCAGCCAGGATTTTACTATTCTACTATGTTACTATTTTACTATTTCAGTACTGTACTATTCCACGACTTACTATGTTACTATTTACTTCTTTTCTATTTGCCCTCGGAAACCCAACCTTGCATGTTGAGCCAGGATTTTACTATTTTACTATCTTATGACACTCCACCATTTAATATTTTTCGATTTACTACTTTACTGATTACTGTTTACCTCTATACTATTCTACCACGACCCCAGCCGTTTGCAACTCGGAAATCCACCCTTGCATGTTGAGACAGGATTTTACTATTCCACCGAATTCCACCTGTGCATGTTGAACCCCAGAGCAAGCAAAGTTTGCATCTCGAAAACCCACCTGTGCATGTTGAACCCCAAATTGCATGTTGAGCCAGGGGATCCCCTCGAAGCACTATGCCACTATGCTCTACCTGGTCAGAAGCATGTCTGCAGCACGCTCAGTGCTGCATGTTGACAACGTCAATATCTGACTCATAAACCCCTTCACTCCAGTGACGAGACCTCTGCACGACCCATGCAAAGGCTCGGGTCTGCCATGTGCTGGGCTTCGAAATTTACAGGATCCTGAATGCCAGCCCTCTCTGCAACTTCCCTCAACGATGTCGCTGCGGTGCTATTGCCTCCGGGCTAAAGCCGAAAATCTCTGAAGACCCCCTCTGAAGTTGAGAAGGCATAGGCATGACGCACTGACCTCTCGAGGCGTGCAGGGGCGCCGGGATGTTGCAAATCTGCTTCTCTGCGAAGTCGTGCTCAATAAAGGGTGACGTCTGCTTAGATACTGATCCTGTGCAACAGGCCCGAATCTGAAGCTCTTGACGACGGCTGGCCCTGTATTGACTGCTCTCTGCAAAGTCACCACGCTACTGCATGAGTGGGCACATGAGGGCACATGCCACACAAGAGCCAGCGCCAGCCTTCGTCACCGAGAATAACTCGAAACTTTAGCGTCGGATGTGTGCAGTCATTGATGCTTTGGACACATCCTTAGGTGAGGACGGCATGAGACACACAGGTGCAAAGCAGTTCTCTGGGGACAACCGCATGGCATGTTGCGCAAGACGCCTTTTCCCGTGGTGGGGCTGGAAATGGAACATCGCGGTCAGGGTACTCAATGCCACACATCCTTTCCCCTTGGCCTTCTTGAATGAAGAACCTTAGATGCACGGAGCAGCACCGACTGTCGTCTCATGTCCTGGGCTCTGCTCTGCTTGCGGTTGCGCCACAGTGGCGGTTAGATGACACCGACCTCGGGGCCACGGCTCGAGCAGCTCGAGACTACGGCCATCCCCCCAAAAGCCGAGCTTGAAATAACAGTGAACTGAACGAGCTGCGACAGAAGCTCGGGAGTCGTCATGCTGAAGCTTCTGATTCCGCTTTCTGCCCGTGTCACGACAAGTGTAGACAAGCTTCGTTGCAAAAAGGTTCAGCTTGAACTCAACGTCGTGGCTGCCCATCGGGATGCGAAAGGATGGCGAGACCTGCGCAATCAACTCTCACGTTTTTGACAGATGCAATAGAACCGCATTATGCCAATTGCAGTCGTTCTGGGCGTTGCCTTTGTGGTGGGTCTCGGACAGACTCAACATGGACTCGTTCGACCGTTCAGATTTAGGCAGGCCAGGAGCAGAAGACATGCTCTTAGCGATGCTTTGGCGACTGCTCTTTGCTTACCCGCCAGTTCGTAGGGAAAAAGGTTGCAGCTGGCTTTGGAGTGGCCCCAGCCAACATCCCGTACCCTGCTATACAAGATTCGAAGCAGCAGGCTGAAGGATGAGCCTTCTCCCGGTCTTTGTTCTTGCCTGAGACGACTCCACAGTGACGAAGGCAAGTGCTTCGAATCGCAGAGATTTGGACGGAGGGAGGTCTGGCTGCTACATCAAAGATGCTCTGGTCTGTCCAGCTTCAAGACTTGATGAAATGTGAGACAATACTCGGGTGCTGTGCCTAGCAACCCACCGGCCGACCCAGGATCCCTTCATATCCCTTCCCGCTTATCTCTTCTGGAACAGCTCCTTGCAGTCTCAGCCGGCCCCAGTTCGGGGACTTTTGCAGGGCGACTCTTGCACGTTTCCCTAGCCGAAACCTAGTCCCTGCTTCCACCCTACCATGCAAAACCCAAAACTCCCGACCGCATGGACCCCGGACCCTTGGAGGTCCGCAACGTGCAAGCCGCTGGAACCAAGACACCTAGCCCTCCAACTCCGAAACATTCAAACTAGCATGCTAGAAGTTCAAGGCTTCTCCATTCCATATCCATCGTCAGAACCTGGTTACCTCCTCTTACCTCTTTACGCCTGATCAGCAAAAGAAACCCACATGTAATGAGATCATGCGCGTCAGCAGCCCTTGTCGTCTGCGAACCTGGCTGCTGGTCAGGCTGGCTTTCTCGAGGGTCCACACGATTCGGCGCGGGTCGCTGGTGTCCACCCCCTGGGCAGGCCTTTCAGCATGTCATGTTGGGCGGAGTCAGTCTCAAGGATGAGCATAGGTCTGCGCCGCCTACGCTGAGAGTTTGACCGCTCGGTACAGCCCTCATGTTCCCGAGCCCTTTGACAGTGGGAAAGCTCCTTAACCAGCTGCATCCGATGCAGTAATATGCATGAAGACGACTTGGAGAAGCCAGCCAGTTTGCCTAGCTTGCGCTAGCTTACGTTCGAGCCGCTGTGCAAGATCGTGCTTCCTGTTGCAGATTGTGATGTTGTGGCAGCCCTGTAATGGTTGGGACATGTTGGGACAAGATGACACCCGATAATGCTCCAAAAACCAATCCTCGTCGGACTGCCGAACCATCAACCGTGGAAGGGCACATGCCCAACACAGATTCGGAAAGTTACGACTTGACAGTACTGGCCTTTCGTAGGTCTGGCTGGACAGCGAACCCATCCTTGACCAGCCGGGTCCAAGTTTGCATGGCACAGATGGCACAGGGAGGAAATCGTTGGCTTCAGGACCTGCCAAGTGTTTGCAGGTTCTGTGATCCATTCGGCAAGCACGGACCCTCAAAGGATGCAAGCCCAATGCTCCAGTCATATGCTGAAGGATGTTTGGATCTCCAATCGAATGCTTGGGGAGACCCCTCTAGCCCGGCCCCTCATGAAATCCCAATCTGCCCCAAGCAGCTGTTGTACAATCCTACTGCCTCCCGACGGTGCCGCATCCAAGTAGCTTCTCATGCGTGATCCACAAACCTGACATCTCCGCGTGCTTGCCTGAGTTGTGCATGCTCCCCACCATGCAAAGCCCGGAGCCAAAGCCTACGTAAGAATTGAAGTAGCCGTGGACTCCTACCCTGCAAAGAGCAGTTCCCAGCACTTCGGGCTTGAGCTCGAGCATGCTCGAGCTTGATCAGCTAGCAACTTGGCTAGTGAAAACTCCGTGCATCTACCAACAAGGAATCTGTGCCAAGCAGCCACGACCTCGAGGCTTTCCGGCTTTCCTCATGTAAGGCTTCATGACCCTGGGTGTGCATGCTGTGTTGCGGCAGTGGCTCAAGAGCTTGCAGGTTACACTGTCGTCACATGAACTCTAGCAATAGCCCACGTGACTAGCCTTAGACTCTGATGCTATTCAGCTCTGCGGCGTTGGCACCGAGAAGTCATATCCAGCGTCGCAATAGCCAAATGCAGAAATGAATGTTGCAGGGTTAATTTGCCACTGCTCCTGAGCTGGGGAGTTACGGCGCAGTCAATTCTCGGTGTCGCCCCTACGCTTCAATTTGGCTTCCTGGTGACTGGGTAATTTTCCCTTGAGACAGAGCGTACCACGGCCGCGGAGCTGTGCACGTAAGGTATGTGCATGTTGTGGAGTGTTTGTGCTTGTTTGCTTATGTGCGTTTATTTCTTTTGTCCCAGCTGGTTGGAGGCGGAGGGGGCCATGAGATGTTCTGCCATTTCTATAGCCGCAACAAACAATCAACACATGAGTCAATATGATGTCATCAACGCCGGAAGACATCCCTTCTTGTGGGATCTAAGGTTTGCCTTCCGCTACTTGGTCACTTGTCTCGTTGAGTCTTGAACCTAATCACCTCTCCTCTGTCGTCGTAAAGCTACAGAACTGAATTTGCGTTTTGCCTGCAGAACACGTCTTCGCTCCCTCGCTGTCTCATGACGGATGATTACGTGGTCTGGCAAATCCGTCTCATCACGCCGCATCACATTTCCAGAATTACATGTTTTGTGCCGCCAAGCACAGAAAACTAGCTCTTCTGCAAAGCTGTTCAGAGCCGAATGCTTAGTCTCATTCCCAACAGCTCCCCAACTGAAAAGCTGTTGGCCAGGTCTGACCCCAAACACTCTGTTGCGCAGTGCTTAAACTGGCATGATGATTTCCTACATCTCAGCAACATTGAACACCAAACGGTGAAGCACACTGGGGCGTGCTTACTTCCGAGGGCCCAGGCAAGTCACATCCCGAAGAAACCTGTAGATCATACATGACAAGAATCATTGAGCTGAAATCCATCAGACGTACATACTCTGTTCCTTTTCGTTTCCGCGAAGCAAGAACCCTGCGAATTCTGTTGGTTAACTGCCAGGCATCCTCGTAGTATGTGTAGCCGGGCGACTGCCACGATCCTCGACTCGCAGTTTGACATCAACCATGGCACCGTCTGTAATTGAAACTTTCAAGAATCGAAGGCTGTATCAGATATGTCGCACGGAATTCATCCGACGTGAGATATGCCAGGAGCGAAATCGTGAATGGCGACCACGCGTCTTGCTTTTGTCTTGCTCTGCAGCACAGCTCCACGCATGCTGTATTGGACTACGGTTTCAATAGTCCAAGCCACAACAGCTTTGGCCGAAGCTCCAATATAGAAAGTACATTGCAATTTCACTTCTTTGCACCTCTATTTGCAGCTTGGAGGCCATGAAACATCCCACCATCCTTCCGAAACACCGGAACAGGATGATGCAGGATGGCTGTAGGGTTTGCTCTGATGCCGGGTGAAACACTGCACTCCAACCAGACTCTACCAAGCCTCTAGCTGAAGGATCAGGTATGCTTTACGAGAAATGCTCCCCAAGATCATGGCTCCAAATCCGGCCCAGTTTCGGAGACCTGACCCGGCATGGGATGCCCTGAGCGGTGTGAGGTCCGCCATGCGGGCAGGCAGGATTTTTTAACAATTGTACGCAACACTGCGCTTCTCGATCAGCTCTTTTGCAGTTCCAGGCAGCTGGGTACCATACGTGTCTCTACACATGTGCTACATTCATAACCAAATCCCGAGGGACTGAGGGCACAATGACTTGGTGACCCGTTTAAGCGCTGTGTAGGATCCCAGCATATGCGTAGGATCCATGAGCAGGGGATGGCGCATGCTATTGGACCAGCCGCATCCTCAAACCGGCTGTGACTCAACAAACTTTGCTGCCAAACCGCCATATTGAAAGCCATAATAGCCTTGATAGCTTTCTTCCAGCTCGATGGGAGCTTCCTGCCACATATCCATATTATGCTGCGGTTGTTGCAGGACTGTACAAGGAGCAAGCGATCCCTGTGCCCCTTGAAAGACTACGACTAGGACTCTCTATCCAGAACGCATCTACGACTGCAACGGGGCACGGCACTTCGCCATAAAAAAGCCTCGCCGTTGTGGGCAGAGCCTCTTCCCTTGCATGTGCTATGGAGTCCCTGTCCATCTCGCTGTGCAAGCCCGGAGGTAGCGTCAGTGCCCTGAGTGTCTGGACTTTTCGGGTGAACAGTCGAAGATTTCCTCTGCATCTTGAAACTGCACGCTCTTGAAAAGCACAGTCTGCGAAAGGGCATGAGGCGCAATAGAAGATTATCCTTGACATTGCCATAGAAAACACGAAACACTACGTTTATCATCGCTAAATCACACTATGCGTCACTACCTGCAACGCGATCCTCACTTGTAGAAAATCCTTCCCTACATGGAGCTTTTGCCCAGGAGCGTGGAAGAGTAGTCTGCCACTCGTTCCACTGTGTCTGCCGGAGACTCTTTCGAGTTCATAGCTTCCTCAGTTGAGGGCGATAAGGGAAAAGGAGGATCGAAGACCCAAGCTGTAGCTCTCAAAGCAGGGGCTACTCGTCAATTTGAGCACGCGTCATCTGCTAGGTTCCGTGCAGCAGCGCAGGAGCAGGGCGGCGCTCGTCCGAGCAGCTTGTGTCTCGTGGCTGAAACTGCGCCGCAAGAGCTGTACCGCAATGTACCGGAACCCCGAACGAGAATTCCTCTGCCGTGCGAGCAGCCAAGATTGCAGAAGTTGGGTCCAGCTGTTCCCATTCCTCCTGCATTTATCGGCCGTTTGTTCCATGCATGCGTATGCACGGCGGCGAGAGCGAGAGAGAGAGAGAGAGACAAACGGTTGGCCAGGCAAAAGGCTGGTCAATCATGCTACTTCTGTCTGCACAGCTCTCAATCGACTCTCCAAGGAATTGTTAATGCCGGGCCCTTGCAAGCAGTTGCGGAAACTTCGCTTGAGAATGGCTGGCGAGACCTCGACATCGACATGGTCGTCCTAGGCAAAGAAGTTTCGAACAAACACGCAGGCACAAACCAAAGCACTCGCAAAGAGTTCGAGTGCAGGCAACGGAAGATGACAAACAAATTGCCTGGAAGCCGCCGTTCATCCCGGAAGCAACTACACTGGTTCTGATTGCAGGACAGTGACGCGTACCAGCCAGACTACTGCTACTAGTACATCTATTTGATATCCTGCACAATGTACACCCCTCTGGAACTCAAGCGCTGTACAGACAAGTGGCTGAGAGACTTTGCTGCTCTGTCGCAGGGTCCTGCTTTGGAACGGTGACGGGCATGGAGAAATACATCATGCAATCAGGATAATCAGTGCAGCATATAGTCTGCAATCGACGGTCTCCGCAGTCGGAAAGCAGCTTTCTAGCTAACTCCATGGACAGCAGGAAGCATACTGAAGACCGAAACCCTGCCGTCTTGCACACGCCGGTGTTTGGATGTTCCGTGAAGGCAAGCACTTTCAGCAACACATGGCAGCATAAAGCAGGACAAGTAGAGCGTTACAGTAGCTGCAGCTGGAGGCCCAGAACCCGGACTCAGTGAACCCCAATGCAAAGCCTGAGTCCCAAAACAGCTTCTCACAGGATCAAGATGAGGATGGATGGATGCCCTATAAGAGACGCCTGGACGAAGACGCCGAGCCCGAGCCCAGGATCACTCGGATCGGCCGGCCTGCACTGCATGCACTTCAAATATCCATCTGTACTGCCCGGAAATGCCAAGCTGGCCAAGCACACGACCGTTGCATCTCGCATTCCGGACGGACAGTCTTCAATCATCTTGCTGAGCTTGGCCAAACACCACGAGCCGGAAACGGGGCGGGCACGCGTGTGCAAACATACTTAAGCTGAAGCGCAATGGCATCAATCTTTGCGAAATATCTACTCAATACGATATTGCGAAATATCCGTACATGCCAATCCAGACCACTAAAACAACACATGTACTGATGTTTGGATTGTATGTATCTCCACAAACGTCTGTCTGTCTGTCTGTCTGCCTGCCTGTGTATGCGTCTGTGTGTAGATGTGGTACGGTATGGATACGGTTACCGTTATAGTTAGCCATGCAGGGCACGGCATGGTATGTGTGGGTGTATGCATGCATTAACATCCGTGCATGTATTCATCGGTGTGTCTGTCTGCTTCAAGAAGACCAGCTTCTTCAAGAACAGCATCAACCCGTGTTTACTATCGCTAACAGTGGCTGTGCCAACATGTGTTGGACCGAATGTTGGCACGAACATTCCTGCATTGCAAGATGTCCGGAATATACTTTTTTGAGCTTCTTGACGCGTCCTTTGCACGCCGAATCAAAACGTCAATTGGTTCCCTTTGTGGCTTGCGTAGTTTTGAAGACATGTGGACAAGCAATCTGCGGAGCGCTCCTGCTTATGCAGAAATCATGGAACGTGGCATGGCTGTGTCAGTCTGATCATAAGGACAAGCAGTCATCGATATTTTCATGAGTTCAGAGGATCTTCGGTGAAGTTTAATGCAACTCGACCAGCACAGACAACGTGGAAGCTGCATGTTCAATGGAGGAGAGGACCCCTAAGCTCTGAACCAAGGACCGGTAATGGTAAGAATCCCAATCTCTGTTCAAACTGAACACCCACATGATGTCACATGCCACGATGTCACGAGGAACTGCGCAAGAAGTCGGCTCCGCGCCTAGCCGAAATGCTCAAGAAATGCCAAGTAAGGAGAAACAAAGACCCCATATAAAACTGGGGCTTAGGCTTAGGGTGTATAAGGTCAACGGTACAACCGTTCACATAATGAAGTACAGCCTAAAAAACAGCAACAGCAACTTGCCCGCATCCGTGAAGGTGAAGCAGCGCTGCCTCTTTGAGCTTTCCGTCTGTACAACTCCCGGCCCATCAACGTCCACAAAACGCTTCACCTCGCATGTGGCTGTTGCCTATGAACATGTCTGTCTGAACATCATTACATCGGTGAGGATCTGCTAAAAGCTTGCTCAGCCTCAGTCCACAACAATCATGCGGCGTGAGTCTCGACTGATCATGTCAGTTGCCTGTTCGGGAACCTTTGCTTGGAAAATCGATGCCCCCTTTGGAAAGGGCACGAATGGGCACGATATTGCAAGCAATCTTCAGTGCATGTGCACGCCGAGGCAATTGCGGAGTCATATCCACCATTTGTCATGACCTGAGCACGCTTTCTGATTCTTGGTTGCCGAATTGAGTGCAGAGTTTCAAGCTTTTGGAGTATGCGTTTACATGTCTTGTTCGGCAAGGGCATGTGTGAGAGGGAGGGGGCGGGAGAAGGGATGGCTTGAGAGGAGGCCAGTTGCAATGAGCAGCTCGTAGCTTCGCCCACTCCCTGGGCGCTGCCAGGTGCTGGCACTGGCTGGCACGTCTACTCGCGGCAATCTTCCTCTTGATCTTCTGGACTGTCCGTGGAGCTTGACTTGGTACAAAGTGAGCCGTGCTTCTTGTTGCTACAAGAACCTATCATCACGGTTCATTGCTGGAGCTTTCTGTTGAACATTTGCAGGACTACCGTGCGCCGCAGGGTTAGGTAACACGCCACGCTGCTCTGTACAGCTTGAGCAGGAATGGCTGGCAGGACATGAGGAAGCCATGGCGTGCACGTCTGGAAAATCATGTGCTTAGATTCCACTCTCGGATGACTGTTGCTCTCAGACAGAACCTACCTCCTTCAACTGCCGCAAGTCCCACACATGGGACGGACTGCATTCAGACTTACATTGCCCTACCTGGAAGATCGCTCATATCATGTGTACGGAAGTGCAGCATAAGCTTCAACTGCAACTGCAACTCGAATCCGCCTGACAGACTGTGGGGCCGATTGACAAGAGCACAAGGAACTCCTGCACCACCAGGGGGCATTGTGCAGAAAGTGCCGAGTGTTGTGGGGTTCTTGGCAACCTTTGCTCAATGTGGACCTTGCCTGGGGCTGCTTTTGCATGTGTCTCGGCCCCAGGCTGAAGATTCGAAATGCAGCTGACGCTCGCAAGTGTGGGTGCAGGTTCCCGGGATCCCCTCGAAGACCACAGCCACATGATCCTAGAGGCTGACTGAACTGCGTGAGATGGTGTAGGGCAATGCGCAGGCTGCCGATCTTGTAGATAAGGTTGAACTGCTAGAGCTTTTGCAGCTTGAATACATTTGCGCAGCATCAATGGGTTTGTCTGCTTTAGTCAGACTGACGCGAAGCCGACAAGGACCAGAGTCTCGGAGCCCAACCCTTCGATTCGACCAGATTCCGCTCTTGTGCCTTGAATCGCCAGAGAAAGGCCGCAAGGAAACCTGTGCTCAGTGCAGCGCAGGAAGCTTCAACTTCATGAGGTGTGCGACATTCTTGCAGCTGGACCGGCACCAACACATTCAACGATGCCCCCCTTTGCACGTCCCAGGCAAGCTTGTTTCGGCATTCTCACAACATGTACAGCGTAGTGGCGGGAACATCTGAAACCTTGGGCCACTGCTGGCCTCGAGCTGGTTGGCCAAGGCCTCAAGCCCTTCCAGCAGCAAGTGGGCCACACCTTGGGAACGCATGGAAATGCAGGGCGACCTTTTTACGTGTTACATGAAGCGGAGGCCGCGCATTATGTTTACTGGGTTTTGGCCGATAGCACCTCTGGAACGCGATAAATGTAAAAAACAGCTTCCTGCATTTATGTGGCCCCCCCAATCCTATTTTTAAATATTTTTAAGCTAGGGGGATCCTCTGTCAGTGTTCAGGGTTGGGGTTAAGGACTTTGGGGCTACAGGTTTAGGGTTGTGGTTGAGGCGTGTCGTCACAGACGGCGGCACATGCAAGACACACAAGGCTGTCGGGGAAGGTCTGCGCATTGCGGGCTTATGGTTGCAGAGCATCAGCACCGTCCGCCAAGGCTAACGAGGCAGCAGCTACAGCATGAGAGAGGCTGCCATCTCACGTCGCTTGCCACAGTTTACGGATGCAGCTGCCTCATTGGTTCTTTTTTGAGATCTCTCAAGCATGAGAGAGTGAGTCAGTGTAAATGATACTCTTCGTCATGAACCTAGCTTGACGGATTTCGTTCGACGTTTCAATTTGATGGCTTCCTGCAGTAGCTCAGGTAGGCTCATGTCCCGAGATAATGTCTTTGGCAATCAAGCCTTACTTTGCAGGGTATACCTTAACAGCACAAATCTTGTGAAGGCTGTTCCCTCGCCCTCGCGACCGGTATCCCGTAGTGGCTGAGGCCTGTGCTGACAGCACCACTCGACTCAATCTTGAGAATCTGCGAAGAGCACCTGGAATTCTCAGGAACAAAGTGGTTGCTAGCAAACACTGATCGAAGACAGTCTGCGAGTCTGCAACGAAAAACTGCTTTTTCTTCTGCAGCCAAGGTTGCGAGAAGGGACGCCCCGGTGCGGTCGCAAAGTGAGCGAACTCCACCGCAAAGGCCGACTTGCCGATGCCCTGAAACTAATGAAAGGCCCACAGGGAGTTCACTTACGAACTGCTTGCAGGTCGGACTGACGCCTGTCAGATAGCAACAAAGAGCTCATCTAGCTCGGCACCCCAAAGTCACAGAACCCACGAGCACGTCCTGCAATCCCAACGGTTTGAAGCGCGATGCCTCAGCACCCCAAACGGCACAGGCACGACGGCTGTCATGGCCGCTGAGCAGGTGGAGAACCTCGGGGGTGCACCGGAGGACTTGTGCTGTGAAGAGAAGGGCTGCAGCGGCCGTGAATGCTGTGGTTCGCCAGGTTTCGGAGGTGGAATTTGCGGTGAGACATGGGATCGGCCGGTGCATGGACTACAGGTAATGCAGCAATGTAAAGTCTGCACGGTCTCAACCTGGAAAGAAAATCACTGAAGTACCTGCGAACATCAATCCTTTCAAAATCGAGAGCTCGAAGGCTGTGACAACAACAGTAAACAGTCGTTACGTCCCGACAAACCGTTATCTTAACAAGCCAACCGTTCAACCTGAGACAGGAAACCCTAAACCATCAGCATCCAGCGCATGCCATGCCAAACTCTGAGGAAGCGCCTCGTGGATGAATTGCGGACGGCCCAGGAAGTTCTCCGGCCTCAAGCATTCAGGATATTCTGTCGGCTCTACACGAGCAGGGCATTGGTTTAAAGGCTTGGTCTTCTCCAAGCTGCCTACATCGGAGCTTCCTCTCGACTGGCTAACTCCTAAAGCCGCACAGTCTCTTGCACACAACGCCTGGGTGGTATCAGCGACTCGGCGACGAGGAAGCGGGAAGCAGCCTCAGGGTGTGATTTTCAAGCCGCAGAATCGAGATATGCCTGTGTCCCTATGTTCTAACACATCCCCCACCCCCCCCCTCCCCCAACTCTACCAGTAGACATTGTGATTTGACCCGGATCTGCCCCAGATGACTGCAACTCACAACAGCTAACACGTACTAGGAGGAATCAGCAACAGGACGAATAGGAAATTCCAGAGTAAAATCGTCCGCAATCAAACGTAGTCATCTCTACCGTGGTGGGGCCGCAATAGGTATTGTCGTTATCATCATGATGACAAACAGTCATCGTGGTGGTGGTGGTGTTGGTGGTGGTGGTGGTGGTGGTTGTGGTGGTGGTGGTGGTGGTTTTCGTATTTATAGTAGTTGAGTAGTAGTAGTAGTAGTAGTAGTAGTAGTAGAAGTAGTAGTAGTAGTAGTAGTAGTAGTAGAAGTAAGTAGTAGTAAGTAGTAGTAGTAGTAGTAGTAGTAGTAGTAGTAGTAGTAGTAGTAG